AAAAATAAGAACCAAGATGCATTATGTAAAGGTACAATTCCCAATGAGAAATGTAATTGTGTTGTATACCTACAATGTACCAATAAAAGAATTTAATAAAAATAAATAAATAAATTCAATGTAACACCATTTGTTCATTGTTGGTGTCATTTCTTGTACAAAGGGGCTCTGTTCAGAAACTCCTTGTCTATGCCATGTCTTCAAGAGTTTTACCTATTTTATCTTCCAACAGATTAATCAAAATTTGGGTTATCTTCCAACATATTTCTGTTTTTATATCTAGGTCTTCGATACATTTTGATTTGATTTTATACAGGGTGAGACATAGGGCTCTAGATTCATTCTTCTGCATATGAATGAGCAGTTTTTCCAGCACCATGTGTTAAAGAGGCTGTTTTTTTCTCCAGAGTATGTTTTCGTCCCTTTTAAAGATTAGATGGCTGGAAATGCCTGGGGTGTTTCTGCATCCTGTATTCTGTTCCACTGATCCCCCTATGTTTTTTGCAGGTACCCCTGCTTTGCTCTTGTTGCTCAGGATTGCTTTTGGTATCCTGGGTATTCTTTAGTTCTATATAAATTTTAGGATTGTTTTTTCTAGTTCTGTGAGGAATGCTTTTGTTATTTTAATTGGGATTGTGTTAAATCTATATATCATTTTGGTAATATGGCCATTTTGACAATATTAGTTTTGCCTATCCAGGAAGAAGAGGTGTCTTTCTGTTTTCTGATGTCCTCCTCAATCTCTTTTATCAGAGTAGTACAGTTTTTCTTATAGAGGCCTTTCACTTCCTTGGTTAGGTTAATGGTTGGTGTTTAATTTTTCTTAACGCTATTGGGAATGAGATTGTTTTCCTGATTTCTTTCTTTCATTGTTTATGTACAGAGATGTTATTGATTTTTGTGCATCATTTTGTATCCTGCTACTTTGCTGAATTTATTAGTTCTAGGAGTCTATTGGTGAAGTTTTTGGGTCTTCTATACAAAGGATCATGTCACCTACAAATAAGAATCATTTGACTTCTTCCTTTCCCATACATATCCCATTTATTTCTTTATCTTGCTTAATTTCTCTGGCTAAATTTTGAAGTAATATATTGAACAGGAGTGGTGACAAGACCTCCTTGTCTTGTTCCTGATTTCAGCAGACATGATTTCCATTTTTCTGGAAATGATGTTGACAGTGGTTTTGTCAGGAGTGACTTAGCACACTGAGACAAGTTCTTTCTGTACCTATTTTCATCAGGGTTTTTAGCATGATGAAATGTATTTTTGTCCAGGACTTTTTCTGGATTACTGAAATGATCATGTGATTTTTGTCCTTGTTTCTGTGTATGTGATGTGTTGCATTTATTGATTGCACTCTTGTGTCTGTGCAATGAAGCCAACTTTGTCATGATGTGTGATCTTTTTCAGGATTTGTTGCATGTTTTTTGATGGTGTCTGGTTTAGGATTCTTGTATCTATGTTCATTAAAGAAATTGGGCTGTAGTGTTTTTTTTCCCTCTCTCTCTTTTTTTTCATACTGGGAATCGAACTCAGGTCCTTGCACTTGCAAGGCAGGTGGCAGAACCACTGAGCTAAATCCCCAGCCCTGTAGTTTTCTGTTTTTGTCAAGACCTTGTCTGGTTTTGGCATGAGGCAGTCTTGATTCCAGGAATGAGTTTGGCAGTTCTCCTTCTCTTTCAGTTGCATGGAAGTGTTTGAGTTGTGTTGGCCTTAGATGTTCCCTGACTTTTTGGTAGAAGTCTGCAGTGAAACCATCAAGTCCTGGGCTTTTCTTAGTTGGTAGGGTTTTTAATACCACCTTTATTTCATTGCCCGCTATTGGTCCATTCAGGTGATTTATATCTTTTTGGTTCAATTCTGACAATTTATATGGATCTTCTAAGGTCTCTAACATATTAGAATACAAGTTTTCAAAATAGTTTCTTATGGTCCTCTGTATTTCAGTGGTGTCCATTTTAATTTCACCTTCATTTCTCTTTGCTTGGATAAGGGGTTTTTCTTTCCTTCTTTTAGCAAGTTTAGCTAGGAGTTCATCAATCTTGTCTCATTAATTTCTGCTCTGATCATCATTTCTTCCCTTCTACTAGTTTTGGATTTGTATTGTTCTTTTTCTAGGATAGTGAGATGCATCATTAGGCTATGTGTTTGGGGTTGCTGTATTCTTTTAATGTAGATATTCTCAGCCATAAAGTCCCTGCTTACTAATGCTTTCATTGTGTCCCATAGATTTTGATTTATTTTACTTGTCATTTTGATATGTTTTTATTCTTACTTGAGTCAAGAAATTTTTGATTTTTTTCCCCGATTTCTTCTTTGATCCATTGATTATTAATAATGTATTATTTAATTTCCATGTGTTTGTGTAGTTTCTGGGGTTTTTTTGCTGTTGATTTCTGGTTTCATTTCACTATGATCCAATAGAAAAAAGGGGATTATTAACAGTTCTTTTGTATTTATTTAAGCATGCTTTACATATGCCTAACATACTATTTTTGAAAAACTTTCACATGCTGCTGAGAAAGATGTATATTCTGTTTTTATTAGATGAAATACTGTGTAGATACCTGTTAAAGCTTTGGTTCAATGGTGTGATTTAAATCTGATACTTCTTTGTTTTTTTGTTGTGTAGCTGAAATGTCTATTTGTGAGACTGGCATATTGAAAAGTCTTCCACTATTGTGGCATTGGTGTCCACCTGTCTTTTTATATCTAGTAGTTTTTGTTTTATGATGTTGTTTATGCGAACATTCAGTACATACATATTTACAGTTGTTATCTTTCTGGAAATGTTTCCTTCACCAGTGTGTAGTATCTTTTTTTGTTTGTTTGTTTGTTTGTTTGTTGGTACCAGGGATCAAACTTGGGACCTTGTGCTTGTGAGACAGGTAGCAGAACCCCTGAGCTAAATCCCAGCCCTGTAGTATCCATTTTTGTTTCTTCTGACCAAGAAAACACTTGAGAGATAAAAAAATGTATTGATGCCTTGTGTATTAATTCTCTTTGTAAGGTATGAAATAGCAAATCCTGAAAGTCAAATGCAGGGGATATAAGTGATAGGTAAAAGTGACCACGTCATTTTCCACCTAGAGCTGTGAGTCTCATAAACAGAGTTTTAATATGATAAAATCTCTCTTGTGCCACAGGATGTGGGCTGGTTCAGTGACCCTAAAAACACCACCGGAGCATTGACTACCAGGCTCGCCAGTGACGCTGCTCAAGTGAAAGGGGTAGGTGCCTCCTTCCTGTTTGTGATTGTATTAATTTCCATTTGAACTTCAGCATGGCATTGGTTTTTCTTGTTACGGGTTTTATTTATTATCATCAAGAAAATAGACATCAAAGTCATAAATATATCATGATGAATAGAAAGAATGTTTTCTAACCATTTTTTACTGTACAGTAACTATAAAGATATAAGAAAAAGAATATGTTTTCAGTAGGGAAGGATTTTCAACATATTATTCAGGAGCACTGCATCAGTGCTCAATCAATAGAAAATTGTAATTGCTATTGAAGAAGGATGAGTATAGATGCTGTCCAAAAATTTAGGGGCATTATCGTTCAGAAGGGGAAGAAGAAAATATTCCTAAAAATAGGTTGAAACAAATGAAAAGCACATGAAATGAAAAGCACAAAAGCAAGTGTAGGAGGAATAACTTTAAACCATTAAATGATCAGATTTTCATTTTTAGCTCAAGTGACAATTTCTTCTACAGTTACAAATTTTCATGGCTAAAATCTACAAAATGACGTGAAATTTTGAGAAACAATGTGATTTCTGCTGTCTTCCCCCATCATGAACCATGTCAATCTCTGTATTTTAGTTGTCCTGTGAGGCAGCATTATACTGACATTTCTTCTGTGTAATAGATGAGGCTTCTATAAGAACTAATTAGATTATGAATATGGGAGCACACAGAGAGCTGCAACCTGGCAGTATTAATCTTAAGAAACGTTGTTTTCCACACTTTTTTGCCTAAAGCAAACACACCAAGGAAAAGCAAGACTTAGATCAAGCTGTACAAAAACTAATACAACACGATAGACTCTGCTTGAAATCACTTTGTACTCTCTAGAAAAGCTCAGAGTTTTTACCCTGATAAAGTCTACGTGGTTTGCCAGATTGCCAGAAAAGTGCTCTGGAAAAATGCTAGGAGGGTGTGGGATAGAGGCTGGCCGGTTGGTTGTTGAGGAAGAGAGGCCACACTAACAGAGCAATACAGGCAGGAAGCCTGGAAGAGGAAAGGTGCCATCTTGGTATGTTCTGGAGAAGATCAGCAAGCGCAGAAGCCCTGAGGCTGGGCACCCTAGCCTTTGTTTCCACGTATAGCGGATAGATTACAGTGAGTGAAGACAAAAGAGTTGTAATGATCACGGGCAGCATTGTGTCTGGAATTGGATGGTTCGCCATTGTAGGTTTTGACCAAAGCAGTGACACATCTGGAATTTTTAAAGGACCACTCTGACTGCTGTGTGAAGATACTGATGGAGACATCAATATAGGCAGAGAGTTCATTGCAGTAACCCAGGAGGGGGATGATACTGGGATTGGTGCATCTTACTGACTGTAGCAACACGTAGTTCATTCTGGATATAGTTTAAAGGTACAGCCTATAGAATTTCTTGGTTGGCTTCAATAAGGGATAAGAGAGAAAAGGGATTTAAGGATGATTGTAAAATTTTTGACTTGCACAACTAAAAAAGTGGAATTGTTTTTTATTGACATTGGGAAGCCTGTTAGATCAGTAAGTTTGAGGGAGACTTGAACATTCTTAGGACATGGTAAGTTTGTGATCCTCACAGTAAAAATCCCCATGGAGACAGATGTCAAAGATGCGAGTGTTTTTGTATGTCTGGGGAAGTCATAGCAGAAAAGTGTTGTCTGGAAATACAGTATACATTTGGAGATTTTTCAGTGCAGTGGTGGCTTTTAAAGGCATGACACTGGATAGGACAGCCAAGGAAGTGTGTGTGGATAACAACCAGCCTTGAGTCTGAAGTCGAGTCATGAGAGTGAAACAGCAAAGATCAGTGTAAAAGAGCAGCCAATGAGGGAGGGAGGAAGTGTCGGGGAAACAAAACTGAGAAAGCATTTTAAAGAGGGAGCAAACTAGGATACAGAAGATAAGCTTGTAACACGCTTGAACAATTCACATGCTGTAGTGACTTGGAGGTGCTTACGATACCAACAAGAGCAGTTTCTGGTGTGTGCTGGGAAAAGAAGCTCGGTGGAAGGGGGCTCAAAGGATGGGAAGAGAAAGCAGGCACAGCTGGACATGAGGTGAAAAGACTGCTAAATGAGGCAGAGGGATGAGGTGGTAGGTGGAGGAGGACAGGAAAGTATTAACTTGTATTCTAATTATTTAGAGAATCAGTAAATTATCTCGGGAAGTCCATTTCGCTAGGATGGTGACCAGTGTGGATAAGCTCAGTCTTGCAGGCTCCTAAGGCCTGTATTCACTAATCTTTGCTGCCCTAACTTTAGGGTGTACACCGGGACCCTGCCATATATGTCTGTGTGCTTTGATAGTCACAGAAAGACCTATATCCCATATGGTGTGCTGGAGACAATCCTACCAGGGATATGAACTCTGCTGCTCTTTGCAGCAGAACTCTGAACAGATAGCTTGGTGCTCCGTGTCGCTGTACTTCTTCCCACTTCCTAAGTTCCTGTGGAGTTAAGACTTGTCTTACACTACAGCACTGTCCTGTGTTTATAATATTTGTGGAGAATCTTTTCTTAACACGGTGTCATTGGTGCGGCCCTTCACCCTGTCCTCGAGTCTAGCCGCTCGTGGGTGCCGACCTTCTGCTTTTCACTTATTTCCTCAAAGACATCTCAACCTGCACCTTTGCTGTCCCCATCATTATCAACAATGCATACCTTGTTTTCTTCTTTTTAAAGTATTAGTCCATGTTTGCAATATACAATGTTTATACTCCTTGTGAGGAGTTGGCACACATACAGAACACATCTTAATCTTTTTTTCATTCCCTCTCTCCTCTCCTCCCTCCATTTCTGTCTCTCTTTATAAAAATTTTACAGGTCTCTTTAATTTTTTGTTTATATTTTATTAGTACATGTTTGCAGTACAAGAAGTTTACAATCATCTTCGGAGTAGATACATGTATGTAATGCAGCTTGGTTCTTTTATTTAACCCCCTTCACACCCACCTCTCTACCTCAGTGTTAAATCCTCTTTTTCCATTTTCATTCTTGTTCTTATTGTTATTCTTAGCCCAGGTGTGTGACACATAATGTTCACATTCATTGTGGTATTTGGTACCTATACGTGGCACATCTTAAGTCTGCTTACTTCCCGTTTCCTTCACTTCTTCCCTTTTCCTCAGCCTCCTGGACCCTTCCCATCTTCAACATTCCTATCCCCTCATTTCCTTCTGTCCATCCTTTATTTTGTTCTCTGATTGTACTTTGCCTTGCTTAAATGAGAGATGCCATACAGTGTTTAAGGCTTGTGTGTCTGATTTATTTCACTCAACATTTTATTTTCCAAGTACATCTGTTTTCCTACAAATGTCTTAAATTTATCCTTTTTTTTTTTTTGGTACTGGGTGTCGAACTCAGGCCTTGTGCTTGTGAGGCAGGCAGCAGAACTACTGAGCTAAATTCCCAGCCCCAAGTTTATCCTTCTTTAGAGCTGAGTAGTATTTCATTATGTATAGATACCACATTTTCTTTGTCCATTCATCTGTTAATGGTATATGGGTCACTTCCAACATTCAGTTATTATGAATAGTGTTGCTATAAACATGGTGTGCATGTATCACTGTAATGTGATGTCTTTAATCTTTTCATGAAGATCAGTAGAAGGGGAGTAACTGGGTCAAATGGAAATTCTAGTTTTAGTTTTTGTGTGAACCACTCAAAGGCAGAGCTGTTTCCCAGAATATAAAACAGTAGCTAAAGTGTTAATGAGGTCAACCATGTTGGTGATAATCACTGAACTAGGAAATCCTAGTCTTTTCATCACAGCTTGTCAGAGAGAGGATAGTTATGTCCTGTTGACGCCCCTGGCTTGGCTGTTTAAGGTGAAGAATGAATAGGTGTCTATATGTGTGTAAATAATGTGGACATTCGGTGTGTATGTGTGCAAGTAGCACACTGATATGGATACATATGTGTATGTACTTCCCTGACTCTTCCACAGAGGGAAGCAATGTGGTTAGTTTTTTTATGTAAAAGTGTTTGATGCTGGCCATGCTGTCACACATTTGTGCTACCTACAGCGGGGTCATGTCAAATTTCTGTGAATGTAGTAAGTGATATTTGTGTGTCTAGGTTAATTATTTGTTCAAATTTAACTTCCACATCAATAAAACCTCTTCTCAGATGTATTTGAAAATTATTGAAGTATCTTAATTCTGCTAACCATAGCCCAGAATAAAACATAACTCAATATAATTTCCTGTGTTATTTTGAGCCCTTTAATGTCATTTGACATGTGGTCTAGAGCTGTGAAATGTGAAAGACCAAGGAGAGTCCCATATAAACCAAGAGCAGCTGCACATTCAATTATTCTTTTTGTGAGACAGGGCTGGGGTTAGGGTGGATTTTAATGTCATGGATATTCTTTCTATCACAGATACTCTTAGATTCAAAAGGAAACTCAGGATGTAAGCTTTTAGTGCAATTAGCACAAAAACTTTAAATTACAGTTTCAGTGCTGTGATGGCGTTTTGAGGAAGAAATAGCAGGAGTGGAAGGCATGGGACAAGTGATTGGTCCTCAGAGCCCTGTAGGAATAGATGTGAGCCAGTGAATGTCAGGCTTCAGAGTAAGCAGCCATCACCAATGCAGCGTCAGTCAAAACCTAAGGCATTGATCTCCCTGCAGCATAAAGTCCTGGATATTTTAAGTTCAGCTCTTTTGCATATTAAAACAAATCAATCATCTTTGATCTATCTTATTTCTTTGGTCCTTGACTGCCATCCAAAGCTCTGTATGTATACATCTGTATGTATGAAGGTTAATGGCAGGAAATTAATTAGAAGAAAGACTTGTAGAAGCTGAGGACAGGACCAGCCTATACTATCCTTGCGGTGCAAATTCTCCAGGCTGCATCCTTTGAGCTTCACATGGAAAAGGTGCAGGTCAGAGAGATGGCGCTGAACATCATTGTACGCTGACTTGTGCCAAATTTTGCAAAGCATCCCTTCAATATAAGCTCTATAATTGTATCCAATAAAAATAAATGTGCTTTATTATTTTTGCTGTCTCTTTCAGCCCTGGTGCAGTTGCCTGTTGTGGAGTTTAAGGTATATAAAAGGCTAATGGTGGTTGTAGCACCTTTTCCCCTCTAAGTGTTAGTCTAATGACTATCTCAGAAAGATATGTGATTTTGGGGGCATTGATGTAGGGAGTTATGAAGGATTCTTCCCCAGAATTCAGAATAGATATCTTTGGTTATTAATGTACTTCCTGATGTTTTTACTTGGGAGAGATTTTTACAAGGTCATGGTCATCAGACTGGCTATCCTAAACTGCACTCTATCGTGTTTATCTGAGACCAGTTCCACTTGAACAGCAGAAATTTTGGGAGAGCAAAGGAGCATGGCCCATTTCCAGATAAAGCAGGCCTGGGGGCAGAGCAGGAATTGGGGTGGGTTCAGGACGTATTATTTTCAGGGTAGAAGGGATGTGGTGGGGTAAAATGCAGAGTGGTGGATGGAATTGGCTTTATAGATTGATTTCTGTTTTTTAAAATTGTTTTATGCAGTGCCTTTAAAAAATTTTTATCTGTCCACGTTTGCAGTATACAATGAGTATTTGATCACTTCTCAGCCTTTTGGCTAAGATCAAGTGTATGATGAATATTCAATTTTGGAAGTTGGTACATGCACATAACACATCTTAATTCTTTTTTCATCCCCTTAACCTCCATTCTTCCCCCTCCCTTCATCTCTTGATCCCCTACCCATTTGCAAAAGATTTTTCTATCTGTTTCACATTATCTATCTTTTATTTTGCTGTTTAATTTATGTATAGTTTGGGGAACCATATGATATTTAAGCTTCTGTATCTGATTTATTTCACTTAACATTATGGCCTCAAGGTGCATCCGTTTTCCTACAAATGACTCAAAATTGACATCTGGCTTTAAATTTGACAGTCACTGGCCACTGCTAAAGGCCATTGTCAGGCTCACTCTGGCATTTAAACTGAAGCTTGTAAATGAAATTTGATAATTTCAATTATATGTATTCATCCCAAATCCATTGGAGGTCAAATTAAACATAGGAAGCATTTCAAATATCCCCCAAAATATTTGAATATCCTTAATGGAACCTTGTAGCCTTAAATTATAAATAGTTGTATGACTAACATTGGAAATTTCCAGTTTTCCCTTGGAAATTAATATATTAACATTATATGTTAATATAATAGACTCATGTTTCTAAGTAGCAGAGCTTGCTTTAGTGATCATCCTCTGAGTAATAAAGATTTTCTTTGTTTAAAAACATCAGAAGAGAGAAATGTACAGTGAACTCTGTATTATTCATCTTCCACTTTCAGTGTTTATTTTGAAATCATGGAAATCCTCATTTTAGAAACCCAGTAAATGGGGCTGGGTATTTAGCTCAGTGGTACCATGCCTGCCTTGCAAGCTCAAGGTCCTGAGTTCAATCCCTGGTACCCCAAAATAAAACAAAAAACAAACAAAAAAAACGCAGTAAACTTCCTTCAAGTAAATCTTCATTTTTATTTTATAACTGAGATGGTAATAATAGATTTTCAGGAAAGTGAATTACCATAATCCTCGTGAATATATTAGAATGGGTTTTTTTTGTTGTTTGTTTTTTTTTCGGTACCGGGGATCGAACTCGGGTCCTTGTGCTTATGAGGCCAGCGCTGGGACCACTGAGCTAAATCTCAGGCCCCAAGAGTGGGTTTTAAATCTAATATAAAAATGTGTTTCTAATGTGTTTCAGGCTATAGGTTCCAGGCTTGCTGTAGTTGCCCAGAATGTAGCAAATCTCGGGACAGGAATTATTATTTCCTTCATCTATGGCTGGCAGTTGACACTTTTACTCTTGGCCATTGTGCCCATCATTGCCACAGCTGGAGTTGTTGAGATGAAAATGTTGCCCGGGAATGCGCTCAGAGATAAGGAAGAGCTGGAAGTTTCTGGAAAGGTGAGTCCAGCGAAGTCTAATGGCCACCCAAGCAGAGGAAAATATTCATGTCCTTGGGCTTTTGTTATTCCTGTACTTATTGTGCTCTAAGAATGATTTTCTAACCGTTATTCAAGGCAGTGTTTTTATGCCTGTTGCATAGGTTAGGAACTGTAGCTTTGTGTGCCCTTCTAGTCACACTCTTCTCTCTCTCTGCTCTCCCCTTTTTCTTTTTGTTCTTTCCTTCTTTGCTTTCTCCTCTGTCTTTTCTTTCTCCCTCTTTGTTCCTTTTAAGTAAAGTTAAATCCATCTCTATTGCAGAAAGCAGGACAATTTTATTACCCATGATGGGGGAGGCTCAGTATGGGGAACCCTATGGGTATTTATTCTGTGTGGTATAAAGGACTGCCATCTTTCACTTTAATCATGACCCCTCCCGTCATCCTTCCTTGATTTCTCCATCCCCTGCTACTTATTTTGCTGAAAACTTATTTTTTCCTGATTTTTAAACAAATATCTATGGGGCATTCAAGGTGTTTCCTGCAGAGGCTTTACTCCTTATCATGACCTTGTGAGTTAGGGTAGCTTTTTTTTTTTTTTTTTGGTTAAATTTTTTTATTGGTACATTTTAGGTATACAATACATTTACATTTATCATTGGGTGTTTGTACCTGTACATGATGTATCTTGGTTCTTATTTTTCCCCCATTACCCGTGTGCCCTTCACCCCTCCACCCTTCCCTATTTACATAGACTTTGTTTCCTTTTTTTTTTCTTTTCTCATAATTTTTCCTTTCCATTCTTTCCTTTCCACATCTCCTCCCACCACCCCTACCTCTTTGGACCTTTTCCTATTTCAAAGTATCAATTATTAGTTATTAATCCTTTTAATGCTTATTTACAAACTATTCGGTATTTACACATGTGTCCTATTTATTTCACTTAAGAGTATGGCCTCAATATGCATCCATTTAGCTATAAATGACTAGTTTCTCATTCTTTATGGCTGTAGGTTTTCTTTTTTATTGTCCAGCTCCAGTGCCTGAGAGCTGGTAAGTCTGGAGCCAGGATTCAAACTCAGACAGTTATGATCCTGTGAGCTAGAACTGAAACAAGTCCCCTGGTGGCAGATATCAGTGATCCAATATCACATGATCTGGGTCGTAGCAGAAACAAGAGGTCAGAATAGGGCTGGCCTTGAAACTGGTCCTGAGGTCTAGGCAGGGAAACATCTAGCAGTGGACATTCCAGGTCCCCAGAGTTAGGTGAGTGTGGCTCTGGCTCTCAGGAGACCCAGGTGACCGAGGTTGTCTCTGACCCAGGGGCCTCAGCAGTGTGAATGATGAGGCAGGTGCCAGGAGTTGTTCCTCCCCTCAGATACTCTGTCCTCTACATGCCTGCATCTCCTCAGACTATATACCCTGTTGTCTTCTGGGAAAATCCTTTGGACCAGGTTTAGTGCTTACCATCCAGTGTCTTGATATTTATTAAGGCAAGAAATGAAGAACAATAAAATATAGATCTTGTGTGGGTGTCTGTTTGAGCTCTCTACAGGATGGAGCTGGCAACCTGATAAGGTTATAATCTGGAACAGGTAACCTTGGCCCCAGCCTGGAACTCCATTAAAGTTCAGTAACTCCATTAAAAATATACTTTGGGGATATTTCCCCCTATAGTGTGACTCTTTACTGGAAGAAAAAAATGGCAAAATCTAGGGGGAAATGTAAAAGAAGGAAATAATGAGTGTTTGGTAGTGTCATTATTTAATGAGGTGTTTGAACTGCCCGAGAAAGGAGTCTTAGATTATTTACAGGAAGTCCCATGATGGATCCTAAGCTGATTTATGGCTACCCAAGGTTAGCATCATTGAATCTGAGGTCAGATACAAGACTTGAGTTCCATCAGGGGTGAGGAAGAGGTTGCTGATAGCTGTGGACAAGGGTGAATCTGGCAGGTTCTTGAGTGAAGATCAGGAATATGACCAATGCTCTAATTCAGTGATGTTCTTAGAGGAACAGAGGCTCATAGCGAAAGTGGTGGTCACAGCACCAACTGGTCAATATAATATCGAAAATCAGTCCTCATCTGCTGATGATTCTTATGTTAGCATTTATTCCATGATAATAAGAGCTCTTCATACATCATCTCAATGCTCTCTGTAACTGCACTGGACTCATAAGAAAACTCAAAGTTCAGACAGATCAAGTATCTTCCCCAAAGACATACAGAAAGAAACAATCCTGTCAGATTCACCCAGAGATAGTCTCCTGACATTCCCATCCATCCCTGTTCACCAATATTATATATTCTCTTTACCAAAGCCACACTAATCTCTCAAAAATACAAATCAGGTCATGCTGACCCCTAGTTAAAGCCTCCTGATGGCTTCTTATCACAACTAGAATGGACTCCATCCTTGCCTCTGGTTATAACTCCTGTCATGGCCCCGCAGGTGACCTCGGAGAGGGCGTCTTGCACAACAGGATGTCGTGTTCATGCTGCTGCCTGTCTCATCTCAGGTCTTCTTGAAATTCCTGGCATTCGCAGGCTCCTTCTGATCTGCAGTGGCAGGCCTCTGTACATTACTCAAATGTCAGAACTATTGCATTTTCAGAGGGAGGCCTTTCCTGACACTGGAAGTAATTTAAAAATAGACAATGGGAAACAGGGAGGTGGACCTTTTGGAGATGGGAAGGGGAGACAGGACAGGAGGAGAGGGGAGGGAGAGGAGGAGAAGGAAACACAAGGGGTTAAGAGTTGATGCATGAATGTACTAACTCCCCACAAGGTGTACATTCAATGGGTATTGCAAACAGAATAATACAAAAATTAAATAAATTTTTAAAAAGGCTTGTTCATTTTTTTTTCCTTTTTCCAAAAGTATTTAGTACGTGATGTTTTCTGGGAGAAACCTTGCTCTATCCTATTTACATGGAGAGTCTCCTTCCTTCTGGTGACCACTAAATCTCTGAAACTCTTGGAATAAATAAAGCTTTCCCTAATTGCTTCATTACACATTAAATTAAATGACTATATTGTGAAGTGATTATATTGTTTTAGTCACCATGCAGTGTGGGACTCAACCTCTCACTTTATCGGTTTGTATACTGAAAAAAATGATATTTACAAATTCATGACAAGATACTTCTGCCTTAGAAAATGATGCACAGAAAGTGTTTGTTAAACCATTACACTGAAATTCATCATAAAATCTGTTTTTTCTGCACACACTCCTGTAGTTTGTTCAAGTTTTCATAATCCAGAAAACCTCTAATTCTCTGAACACTTATAATTAAAAATATTTCTAATCTGAACACGTATTTTCATTGGGGAGTATGACAGAAGTTACATTTTTCTCTCTAGCTCCTTGTATTTTTGGAATTCTAAGATGTGCATACATTATTTATTGAATATATTTTTAAAAATCAGGCTTGTTGGCACAGGTCTATAATCCCAGTACCCTGGGAAGCTGAGCCAGGAGGATCACAAGTTGAAACTCAGCCTGGGTATCTTAAGTGACTTAGTGGGACTCTGTCTTGAAATCACATAACAATTTTTAAAGGTTGGGGATGTAGCTCATTGTGAAAGTCCTGGGTTCAATCCTCAGTACAAAAAATTGTGCAAAAGAAATAAAATATTCTAACAGAAATTATCTGGATATTTTCCTGTCATTTTAAGTGGCTTATGGTAAAAATAGTTCAATCTTCTTGTATTGTCTGGATCAGAGAATATTACTTTTTTGGTTGAGACAGAATCTCCATGTGTGGACCAGTCTGACCTTAAAGTCAAGATCTTCCTGCCTCAGTCTTCTGAACACCACCATGCCTGGCTTAGAATACTACTTTAATTTTTTAAAGAAGCTTTATTTTAAAGTCTATTTTATTAACTTTTCTAATATCTTTTGGACGAATATTGAAAACTGACTTAATGTCTTATGAAATGTTTGCTTTTATCTTTGAATTTAGATAATTTGTGTAAGATTCGGTGACAAATATGTGAGATTGCACATTTGTGATTTCTAAGGTGCAATTGAAGGGATGTGTCTTTATGAGAATGAGTTCTGAGCAGTGTAAAGGCTAGAAAAAGAAAGAACATCTTAAACAGTGTGAGCATTGTCTCCTGTTGACCTGTGATGAAAACAGTTCCAGGAGGGCTTGAGACCCTGAGGGCCATCCTGCTCCTCACTGACAGATGAAGACAGGGACACAAGTTCAAGGCCCCCGGCTGACAGCTGATGTCACAGTGAGATGCTGCTGTTCTTTGTGCTCTCCCTCCATACCTGTTAGCCAGACTTCAAAAGGCGGTAACAGTGACAAATGTCCCAGTTCAGTAGATTTGTTGGAAGTGTACAGCATGCTGACATTCAGGATTGGGAATTTGTACCTTTACATGATGTATCTTGGTTCTTATTTTTTCCCCTTCCCCTGCCCTCCCTTCACTCCCTCCACCCTTTCCTATTTACAAAGACTTTGTTTCCATTTTTTCCTTTTCTCATATTTTTTTCTTTTCTCTTCTTTCCTTTCTCCAATCCCTGCCACATCCCCTACTCCTTTAGACATTTTCTTCCTATTTCACAATATCAATTATACAGTTTGATTCTTATTTACACTTTTAGTTTTTCACACCAGAGAAACTATTTGGTATTTACACATGCATGTCCTATTTATTTCACTTAAGAATATGGCCTCAATGTGCATCCAGTTAGCTATAAATGTCTCTAGTTTCTCATTTTTATGGCTGAGTAGTACTCCATTTTATAAAAAACCCCACATCTTCTTTATCCAGTCTCCAGTTGATGGGCAATTGGGCTGTTCCCAAGTTTTAGCTATTACAAACTGTGCCACTATAAACATTTTCCTATACATAGAATATATCATCTGCACACAGGATTTACTTCTTCCCTTCCTTTTTGTATGCCTTTTATTTATTTTTTCCTCCTTAATTATTCTAGTCAAAACATTTAGCACTATATTGAACAAGAGTGGTGAGAGAACACATATTTGTCATCTTCCAGGTCTTAAAGAAAATACTTTCAGGGGCCAGGGATTTAGCTCAGTGGTTCCAATGCCTGCCTCACAAGTGCAAGGTCCCAACCTGGATCCCTGGTACAAAAAGAAAAATACTTTCAGCTTTTTCCTGTTAAGTATGATGACAGTGAGTGTTATGGTTTGTCTAGATGTCTCCCCAAAGCCTCATGTGGTCATAGGCTTGATCTAGAGTGTGTAAAGGCATAATTGATTCATGATGCAATACTAGGCTCAAGAGCACTAGGAAAAAGGGTGTGAGTGCTACCCACCCTAAGTAGTCTAAATAAGATAAAAGGGACAGGGAGATGCTGTTAACTCTCTGGTTACATTTGCTGCCTTGTGTGTGTCATGTTGTTTCTGCTCTGCCATGCCTGTTTGTCATCCCTACCTTGGAGTTGGCTGATTATGGACTGAAACCTCTTCAACTGTAACCCAAATAAACCCCTCCTCCTTTAACTTTGGGTGTCTAGTATTTTGTCTCAGCAATGAGAAAAAAGTAACTAATGCATTGGGTAAACATCTAGGCTTCAGTATATTGGTGCATAATCTTTCAATACCTCAATTCTTCAGGATTTTATCATGAAGGGATATTGAATTTTTTTTTAACATTTTCTTCTGCATCTATTGAGATGATCCTATGATTCTTGCCCTTGAATCATAGGATGTGTGATGACTCACATTTAATTGATCTGCATGAGCTGAACCATCCTTGTATCCCAGGAATAAATACAATTTGACCATGATGGATGGTCTTTTTGATATGCTCTTGGACTTGATTTTTTAGTATTTTGATGATGATTTTAGCCTTGTTTTTATCAGGAATATTGGTCTACTATTTTCTGTTTTGTCCTGTGTTAGTAGTAGGGTAATTCTTACCCCATAGGATGATTTTGATATAGCTCTCTTCCTTTTAATTTTTTGAAATAGTTTTAAAAGAATTGGTACTAGTACTTTAAAGGGTAGTAAAATTCAGTAGGGAAGCTATCTGACCCTGGGCATTGTTTTGTTGGAAGACTGTATTGCTCATTCAATCTAGTTTACATAGTTTTGTTCCAGTCAAGTTTTTAATGTCCATAGATGGCTCAATTTTGTTAGATTATGTGTTTCTAGAAAGTTATCCATTTTCTCTAAATTTTCCAATGTATTACCATATAGTTGTTTATAAGAATCCCTAATGATACTGTCAATTTTGTTTATATATTTTTAAAACCATCTTTTGACTCATTGACTCACTTTATATTTTTTCCCCATTAAGTTTATTGGTACATTTTAGGTATAAAATACAGTTGCATTCATCATTGGGATCTTGTACCATTACATGAGTATCTTGGATCTTATTTTTTTCCCCTTCCCCTGCCCTCCCTTCACCCCCTCTACCCTTCCCCATTTGCAAAGACTTTGTTTCCATTTTTTTCCCCTTTCTCATATTTTTCTTTCCCTTCTTTCCTTTCTCCCACCCCTCCCACCTCCCCTACCCCCTTAGGCCCTTTATTCGTATTACACAATATCAATTATACATTTTAAAAATTACAATATCAAGATCTAGGAGACATTACCACAGATTTTACAGACTTTAAAAGGATATAGAAAGCATATTACAAAAATC